TGGGTGTGGGTGTGGGTGTGGGTGTGGGGTGTGGGTGTGGGGTGTTGGTGTGGGTATTGTTATCGTTATTGCTCCACACCCACACCCACACCCATATATAAAGACTTTGGAATGTTTCGAAAGAAAAAAATCATTTCAGATATCGTTCAATTCTGTTTAAAATATGGTCTTATTCATCTGAATAAAAATCTCACAATAAAAGAAGAAGATTGATTCGGAAAATAAAAATATTCATTTCTTTCTATATTATTATTATTATTTTGCCTATCTGTCTTTTTTATATTTAATAAATATATTTCATCATAGAATATTAATCAAATATTATTCGATTTTTTCTTCAGAATAATAAATTTCACCTTAAAACTGAACCGATTGAATAATCTACATTCAATTTATTTAGAGTTTTAAATTCTTGATCATTAAATAAAATAGATCTATTGAAATCTTTAAGTGTACTAGAAATATTTCTGAGATATAACAAATAAACTTGATTCATCAATATTAATTAATCATGAAATTATAGATCAAATGAAAAAAACAAAACTTTTATCAACTGATTAAATAAGGCAGAAATTTAGATATTTGTGATAGAAAATTTAAAAGAACAATGTTTAATAGAATGTTTAAATCATTTAAAAGTAAAAAATTAATTAATTCTATCAAATCAGTATATGCTAATAGAAAAAAAAAATGCTTGTTTGGATTTGTCTATTATCGGTGATATATGGATATTTAATAATGAATTTTATGAAGAATTCGTTCAAATATTCAGTAATTAATTTTCATCGATTTCTTTTTTCTGCTTTAAGATCAATTGATATTTCGTCCTCATCCTCACTGTTATGTTATGTAGATGCATATCATATTATATATTCTATTCGCTAAAACTTTGAAAAAGACTTCTATGCAGAATTTACAAGATTTTCTTAATCGAGATTTCTACTTTCAACAAAACTACAATTTATTACAAAAATATTAAGAATAAAAAAATTAGCACTAAAACTATTTATACTGATCCGAAGTGAAATCAATCAAAAAGAACTAAGTGAAGATTGAAATCGGTCTTTCAATAGTTATCATTGACATTCATTTAGTTTTTATTGATTAACAGTGATTCTTAATAACCATATCGACTAAACATTCCCATCGCTGGTCTATGAATTATTTTGATTAAAAAAAACAAATTTCTAGTTGTTTGTTCTTTGTCTTTCTGCATAAACAAAACACTGTGATCAATACTATCGCATCAGAGAAGCATATATTTTAAAAAATCTGATAGGATACGTAGATATATAACGACAGAAAAAATGGAAAAGCAGACGAAGAATGAACAGAAATGTTCTAAGCTAATCAGAAATAGAAGACGTATTTGAATCACCAACAAAAAAAATCTCAACAATATAATAAAGCAGTTAATTCAGAAAAAGAAAAACTTTTTAATAAAGTAAAAAATGTTGCAACACGAGAAGAAGGAAGAAAAATTCAAGTTGTAGAAATTGGTGTTGCACATGATGTTAATCCTCCAAATCGTAAGAATAGAAATTATTCATTTAAATAGATCTTTTTCTTTTTTAATCATAGTCGTTGAAGTTATTTGTGTCGAACCGATAAGAAAATTTGAAATATATTTAACACAAACACTTAGATAAAATCCACAAGAGAATTACTAATTAGTAGTGCAGAAAACGTTTTTGGTAAATATACAGTCTAAATAACAGAGTGACTTCTATCTATCTACTAGACAATTAGAAATCAATCGAAGACAAGCGACTTTGACTAGTCTGACATTTTTTAAAAATCATTTTTTTTCGACACTTTCAACTTCTTGTTTCGAAAACCCGTTATCTGAAGTTCTATCGATAAGTAGAGTAGGGTAACCATCTTCTTACTCATCCTCACTCACACTTTCATCCATACTCTCAAGTTATTGGTTTTGTAATAGTTCTTTTCTTTGCTTTCATTTTCATCTCGCGTTATTCACATTGTGTAGTTACATGAGACATGTTTATTTACTTCTTGGTAAGTTGTCATAAGAGCGGTACTTTTGGCGAATAATTGACGCATGACATTATTTCAGTTGTTAGTTTTCATGCGGTTATTATTTTATTGTTCTCGAGGAGGAGAAGAATGAACTGACGCTGATTATGAAAGACTTGTCAACGATATTTCGTTTGCCAGTTGTGTGCTGTTGAGGTTAGTTGCCTGTTACAGTTGTATTACGTAAGAGAACAGTTATAATTTGGAGCGCATATTGTTTTAATCGGAAAGAATTGCATGAAAGAAAATAGTGTTTTCGTCAAGGGGGAAAAAGCTGAATTTTTGATTTAAAGATTGACTTGATTGACAAATGATTGATTTGATTGCAAACAGCTTTTTCTCCCTTGTGTTTTCTACAATTCTCTTTTTAAATATGACCATTTTAAGACTAATTTTTAGTAGAACATCACATATAGTCGATATTTCCTTATATCGTTCATCGAAATACAACATTTATCAGTTTATTGATGGATAAAAACAAAATTTCCTTTGTAACGAAGGAAAATAATCACAAAACTCTTTGTCTTCTGGCGACATGTTGAACAGAAAAAGTTCTTTTATGTTCTTACAATTGTTTCGTGTTTCTTCTCTTGTAAAATTTTTAGTGACACTTTTTAAATCATTGTATGTTGCCCTTAAACTGATTAGACATGGTAGAGATGTTTTCGTTTCATTTAAAAATTCTTCAATAGTGTTAATATTTGCCTCTCCGGCGACACTAAGCGTAGTAAGATAAGGATATTTAGCAATTGAACATGATTGACTATCATTAAATAAAAATGAATTCATATCAGACGACGATTGTAATATAGGATTTATAACAGAAAGTCTATGCAGTAATGGAAAAGATCGAGAAACCCGAAGAAAGAATTCATGATTGAACAGAACAATATCTTGTACCACTAAGTGTGTAACATATTTGAATATAATATCTGGAAATTTATTTCCAACATCTCGAATCCGTTGAAATGTAAAAGGAAGTGAGAAGATAGAATATACAGCTTGATTAATATTGATATAATTTATCATATTAACCATATATTGTTGATGTTTAATATTTACAGTAATTTGTTGAATATCATGTCTAGGTACATAATGAAATAAATCATCAGCACGATCATAATAAGTACTAATATAAAAAATAAATGAATGAAGATGTGGCATATAACGAAGAATTTCATTTTCAAGATGAGAATTATCAATAAATTTATCGCGCTTTGATATACAAAGATATATAGTGAATTTTTCGAGACATGTCATATGATGAAGAAGAGGTAAAATGTGTTCATCATATATATCAAGTCGACGATAACATATCAATGAAAAACATTTCAAATTAGATAAATTATCCTATGTAATAAACAAAAGAATATATCTAAATGTAAAAGTTTATAGAATTAGTAGTCAACTTCATATGATTGTTGACTGCCTTTCTTAAAACTTACCGTAATGGAAATGACTGATGGTAGTTTTGTTTTTCTAGATATTCGAACAATAAGTGTAGTTAATTGTTTGAATCGACCATCAAGTAAATAAAGAAAGTCATCAAATGTGTACACATTTATAGATAAATAAGTAAGATTTGCAGAGAAAAAACTAATTGATGGTGAATCACACAGTAGTAAAGATGGATGTGATCGATAATGTGCGTCAATAAAACTCAAATGTTTTAAATTTCTAAAGAACTTCAAAATACGTTCATATACATTTTCATTATAGGTTCTCAATGATTCTATCTCAGGTCGTTCGTCACTATTTACGAGAGTAAGATGTGTAAGTTTTTCTTGAAAAATATATCGAAGAGATGATTCATCTAAATATGAAATAATAAAATACTCTATTTAACATCATTTTATGTTATGATTCCTTATTTGTAAAGTATTTTAAGCAAATTTCTTCTGTGAAATTAAAAAGCTTAAGTTCAGTTAGATTTGGATAATCAGCAGTAAGAAGAATACATTCCATTGAAAGTGGTTTAAGAATAACATATTTTACATTTTCATGAATTTTTGGCAATATAATCTTGCAAAATCGATCAAGTTTCTCTTGATCAATTACAGAATCATTATCGATTGAGGCGAAATTGAGAGTATGACTGTAGGTTTTTTCTTGTGCTAAACTGTTCAAATGGTCATTATTAACATCGATTAATGAATAAAGAACATCAATATTGTTCAGCTTTTTCAAAATAAGAAGTAATATTTCGTCAGGCAAATCCAATAGATTAATATTCAATCGATTCATATTTTATTCTGACTATCATACTTATGAAAAATAAACGTATATATATATATATATATACATTCTTTGTTTATAACAACTTTCGTCATTGTAGAATAAAATAGATGAACTCGTCGAAACAATGAAAGATCAATGATGTTGTCCAATCGAAACATCGTCAGTCTCTGACGTGACCTCACAAATATACAGAATAGTTTATATTCAGACAAAAGACCAATGGGATTAATAAAACAACCATTCCCTAATCGAGATTCCGTAGAAGAATCTTCTGAGGAATTTCTGGAGAAGTTAAGAAGGAATTTGGTGATTTCTTTGGTGAGAGTCAACAAGAGTATATGTCCCATACTGATCTACACAGATGGTGACTAAGTTCATTTGACTATTCAATCACAAAGAAAACCTTCCATAGATCAGCAACTACCAATTATATAGATAGTTGAAAACTGTAGGAATCCTTGATGCAAAGTGTCTCGACAAATGCAGACAGTTTCATACCAAATAATCATTTCTTTTCTTACTAAAATAAGTTTTGTCGGAAAAAAATGGATATATCTCAGTAATTTGGAGTTTGAATAAAATTTTAAACATAGGATTTCATAGTGATGAAGTTGCTCTGCAAAACTTTTACTAGACTAATGAAAATATTTAAAAAAATTATAAGCAGATGTATTAGCGAAAGACGAAGAAGAATATGTATTTGTAATTGATTTTTATGCATATTATATCTTGAAATAGTGAGGATAACAAAATTTCATAATTTTTTTTTTTAAATAAATTTTACCGATTTCCGTATTAACTTTGGAATTCTACAGCTTCTTGAGAACAGGTTCTTTCAATCTGGTTTTTAAAAGCATAACTATAAGTCATCTAGCTCTACAAGGTGAAATTCCATGGAGAAAGCCATTTATATATGGGTACGTGTGAATTGCAATATTTCAGTTTGAAGTTTTATCATAGTAAGATGCATCGAAATCGCCTCTTTCAGGATATCTATGGTTTATCGCAAAATGAATTGATTTTCACAAACTTATCGTCTAAAACATGGTTGCTAATACTATAATTTTCGAGAAATTTTCAGTACTTTTTACAAATTCTTCAGTTTTTTTAAGCAGCTTTCTCTTTGCACCAGCATGTCGTAAAGTTTTTTTTTTATATTAATCTAATTGATCCAATTTTACTAATTATTCATTTATTCATCATTCATTACTACAACCACTGGATAGAAAAGCTAAGAGTGAAGAATATTGAAATTTATTTTCATTCTTCTAATTTCAAGTTTCAAAACCACGTAGAAAATAATAGTAGTTATTCGCATTTATACTCATTATTAGTAAACCAATTATATACAATCTCATGCTTTCAATATTTTTCATTTATAAGTAATGAGAATAATCAACATCTGCGTGGCTCACTAAATGAAACAGTATATAATACAATCAGCAAAATATAAAGAAGGTAAGTACTGATTCGTATTTTGTATGCTTAAAAGATTTCTTTTTCTAAATGATTTGAAACATACTAACATTGGATAGTTCGTTTATTTGATTATTTTTTCAGTCTATCGGGAATCTAGGGCGTTGGTGTGGGTGTCAGTGAATGACAGAACTACTACCACCAACCAGATCCATTCCCCCTCCTCTCATTCTTACCTACATTCACTTACGCGACATATGTAAGCAATGGCAACATTGAAACGCATTAGGTATCAGTGAATATGGTTGCATTCATATGAAAATTATTAAGTAAAGTTCAAGTGCTTTTTTTGGTACCCAGAAAAATGTAAATATTGATTATTAAGGTAAAGCTCTGATTTATACAGAAAAATCGTACTATAGTGCTCTTTATTTGTATACAATATCGCATGGTATGAAAAATAGGGTTACCGGAAGTTCGCCAATAAGACTTTCGCAATTTGGACTTTCGCCATTGGCGAAAGTCCACTGTGCTTTCGCCAATGTGCCTTCCTGACATTCGCCAATTGGCGAGTGTCCATTGATCTTTCGCCAGTTTACTGTCCTCACATTAGCCAATTGGCGAATTTCCACTGGACTTGCACCGGTAAATCCTTCAGATATTGGGCAATTGAAAAATGATAGTGGCATTGATCGGAGAGATCAGCAACAAATACATGGTAAGAAAATTGTTGGAAATGACATGATCAAAATTTTTATTTGTAGTTTTAGATTTATTCGAAATAAGTCTAATATCATTTGTGTGTTAACAAGTATGAAGTATAACACATTGAACATCTGTTCATATCAATACATAGGTAAAAAGTTTAGTATATATGATATGATTTCGAGTTTTTCAGATAGCTATTGTTAATCATATGCCTGTTACTATTTGTGCAGCAGCATTAAGAAATTCGTCAGTATATCTTTTGGAAATTCGCCAATTGGTGAAAGTTCAGTCGACATTCACCAGTATATCTGTTGGACAGCCGCCAATTGGCGAAGATCCATTGAACTTTCGCCAATACATTCTGTGGAATTTCGCCAATAATTGGCGAAAGTCAAAATTGGCGAAGTTCCGGAATCCCAAAAAATAGTTTCAGCCTCGAAAGGGGTGTGGGTGCGGGTGTGGGGTGTGGGTGTAGGTGTGTTTGTTATTAGAGTTAACTTATGCTCATATCAACACCCACATCCACACCCACACCCAAACCCAAACCCAAACCCTACCCACACCCACCCACACACCCACACCCACCCACACACCCACACCCACCCACACACCCACACCCACCCACACACCCACACCCACACCACCCACACACACCCACACCCACACCACACACCCACACCCACACCACACACCCACTCCCACACTCACACCCCACACCCACACCCACATCCACACCCGCACCCCACACCCACACCCACACACACCCACGCACCCACACCCACGCCACACACCCACACCCCACAC